GTCCCTCTGGCCTGGGGCAAGTCCCAGTTGGACCTTTTTGCTATTGTAAACTTGCAGTGAAGCTATGAGTTGGGGTTTGGATCATCAGAGCTTCTCTGGAGAAGGACACTTGATTTGAACCAATGCCCTGAAATACAGAACTGGCTCTAACATGGCACTGAGAGCTGGAACCACCCCAGCCCCCAGTGAGGCTCTCCTTGGAAAGCTGAAGAGGGACAGAGGCACGTGCTGCTCTTCCTCTGTAAAGGTTTGCTCAAATCTGCCTTGTTAAGGGGAGGTGACCCTTCTGGTCCCCTGCCCAGGCATTAGGGCAGTGATCTTGGGAGTCTGCAGCTGCAAAATGGTCTCCTTTTCTCTAAAACAAAGCCCTACCTGAAGCCAAGAAGCTGCTGTGCTCACAGCAGTAAATATTTATAGAGCCTTGCTCGCTTGAGCTATTTAAAGCAATTTTCCTGTGATATTAATCTGTTTAAAGGGAGAGCCCAAGAGTAGCATGAAATACTTACCTCCCTTGTCCTTCTGCCTTTTCCAATGTGACTTCCAGGTCTGTGTCTCTGTACCTGCTGCCTATGCCATGTTTTCTGCGTTCTGCTGCTCATGGCAGGTGCATCTCAGGGGCTTGGCAGAGAGGGGGTGAAGCCCTTCTCCCAGCAGGGAGTTCCCAAGAGGAAGAGGGGCTGACAGCCTGATGCACAGCAGTATCAAGTGCTGGAAGAAAATGGTTTTTCCTCTTGGAGGGGTTTTGCTTTTCGTGTTCACATCAGGTGTAATCTTTTGGGTGAAAGTTTTGACTGAGCTGAGGTTGGGTGTGAGGGTTGGCAGGTCGTGTTGGTGCAGGGTGTGCTGTGCTCTGCATGAGTAATTGGGAAGAGGTCAGAGTTTCCTATAACACATCCCCTGTGTTCCCATGGGAAAATAGCTTGCTTTCTTAAGTTTTTCCTTCTACCAACTGGCAAAAGAAAGAAAGGTTTGGAATTCCCTGGAGTCTTGCCCAGGAGTGTGAAGCCAGGGACTTGGTGTCTGACATCAAGCGTGGTGACAGCAGATGGCTTTGCAGAGCAGCCCATGCCAGGTTGGCTTCCAGCTCCAGAAGTGGCATTGAGGTGGTGTCACTATAAACAGGAGTCTGAAGCAGGACTGGAAAAAGAGCAGAGGAGTCGGCCTGGATACTAAATTAGAGAAAACAGCTCAGACTTGTTTCCCAAGCCTGCTTCATTCTGTTGCATCATGCAAGATATTGGTCAAGAAAGAGATGGGTTGATATCAAATGAGCTTTAAACAAGCCTGTGTTCTTGTACCCCAGGGCCAGGCGGGGCTGTGGGGGTGGCTGGTTGAGTTTGCTGACGCTGCCTGTGCCCCCCACGCCCCCCCTCCCCCCCCCCAGCAGGAGCATCATGGGGGGTTGAAGCAGCACATCCTGTCCTGGGGATCAAAGCACATTGTGGGGGAGGATAAATGTCAGTCTTGAGATGAGCTGTACTTGGCAGCCAGCAGGGGTAACGCTCAGGTGGGGGAAACCCTCTCAATTCCAGAAATGACATTTGCAAAACTCCCCTTAAGTTATTGGTGTCTGAGCTGCCAGCCTCTGTGCAATGGTGGCATCTAGTGGCAGCTGTGACACTCTGTCCCCAGGTCCCTGGGACAAGGGGGAACCCAAGGCTGAGCCAGAGCTGGCTGGGGACAGCCAGCCAGGCTGCTCAGCTTCCTTGCCAGCTGTGATGGGAGCAGCATCTACTGGGCTACAGCTCAGTGAGCTGCTGTGTGACTGGCACTGAAATAGAAGGCACCAGCTGTGGCGTGCCCAGCACTGGCATCAGCTGCTGTGGTGAGTCCTGTGATTTTAAGGGCATCTGTGGTTGATGAGAGTTTTCCAGCACCAGTGAGCCATCCTGCACGGCTACAGGAGAGCTGCTCTTGTGAGCTGTGTCCTGCTCAGGGTGCTGACCAGCTAAAAAAAATTAATTGGGCAAACAGAAATATTGTGTATGAGTTTTAATGGGGATGCCCTTTGAGCTGTCTTGGTGCACTGAGTGTTTATGACAGAGGGAAGCTTAAATACTGCACACAGTGTTGCACTTGCAGAGTTTTTCTCCTTTCCAGGGAGCTTCTGGGTAGAGTTTGCTCACAAAGCTCTTGTAAATGTAGTCCCTAGTTCCAGTATGGATGTATGGAAGTTAAACAGTGCATCACTTTCCTCCAACCCATGTTACCAGATACTCCTTAAATACTGGCTGTAGCCTGGAGTAAAAAGTCAAACCAGCTTTGTTTTTAGCCTGAATGTCTGTGAATTCCTCAGGCCAGTTTTGTGGCAGGACCACAGGACGGGGATCCTCGGATCCCTGCACCTCCAGCACCCTGATGCCAAGGAGGGAAGTTCTGCCCAACAACATGGGCAGCCCTGAGGCCTGGCAGCCAGACCAGTTGACTGGCAGCTGCCTGGAAATGGGAAGAGGGAGATATGGTGCTTTCCTTTGCATTTGGCACCAAGCGTGGTGGGTAGCAGGTGCCTGCAGGGTCTGCCAGAACCACTCCATCACATCACTGAGAAGGACATGAAGGTCTTCTGCTTTGCCTGTTTATATTTCCTGAGCATCTTTGGAGTGAGGAGCAGGTGCAGCAGGAGCTCAGGAAGTTTTCCCGTGCTGTTTTCTGTTGGTTGCCCACTTTGGTCGTGGCCATGTTGTTCTGCCCAGAGGCTGGCATTGCTCTGCTTTGGAGGATGTGGGGTAGTTCCAGGTGGGCACGGAGGGAAAGGGTATTTAAAGCATTTATTTGGTGACTGAGTCAGGTGTATCTGTGACAGGGAACACATTTTCCCTGGGTTGGGGGATGAAGGCTGGGCAGTTCCTGAGCATGGAACATAACAAGGGCATTTCTGGGTTTCTGTGTTTGACATTTCCATTAATGAGTTTTCTTCTTATTCCAGTTCAGCTGAGCCTCTCTCACTTTTACAAGCTCCTATCTGAGCAATTCCTTTCACCTCAACAGTGGCATTTTTTTGGAAGCACATGGCTTCTGCCCTGAAAACATTTTGTATTCCCCCTCCTTGGTGTGTTCATGCAGCTGCTCTGTCCCTGCACCTGGGCTGGTGGAATGGAGGTTCATAGAGTCCCAGACTGGTTTGGGTTGGAAGGGACCTTAAAGATAATCTAGATCCAGCCCCCTGCATGGGCAGGGACACCTCCCACCAGCCCAGGCTGCTCCAAGCCCCATCCAACCTGCCCTTCAACACTGCCAGGGATGGGGCAGCCACAGCTTCCCTGGGCAACCTGGGCCAGGCTCTCACCACCCTCACAACAAAAAAATTCTTCCCAATGTCCAACCTAAATCTGCACTCTTTCAATTTTATTCCATTCCCCCTTGTTGCTGAGGACTTGCAGGGAGCCCTTGTGCCTGAGGAGCAGTGAGGTGGTTCTGCCCAGGGCAGGGTCTGAGGATGTCAAGTCCAAAACAGGGCGATGTGCTTAATTAGCTTCTTCCATAATGACCTGTCAGCCTGTGCCAGGGGATGATTCTGGTTCAGGAACTGGGGGGAGATGTCTGGATGCTCCCTCCTGGAGCAGGTTTGCTCCCACTGCTGCTCACCAGCCCTCAGGAAGAGAGAGATTTGTATCTGCCTGACAATAAATGCATATCATTCACTTGTGTCTGTAGGAAGATAAAATGTAAACTGTCTGTTTTGTGTGATAAAGCACTGGAAATAGTTGGAATTTAAGATAATGATCTTTATTGCTTTTTATAGCACCCTGTGAAGGCTGAAATCTAATTTGTTTTTCACTAACAGGGAGCTCCTGCTGACGACTCAGAAAAATCCATTTGCTTTATTGACAAACTTGTCTGTTTGGTATCGGCAGTTTTCTCCCTGCAGGAAAAGGGGAACACAGGTCGTAACACAAGTGAAGGTTTTTTTTATATGGATTCAAAGTTTGATATCTGTTGGCAAGAGGAAAATCACATTGATGTAGTCAGAGTGACTCTGCCTCATTGAAGATGTTTGTAAATTAGTTTTGTGCTTCAGTGGGTGGGCAGTGATGGTGCAGGGAGCTCTGTTGAAGCAACTTCAATACACTTAAACCCTTTTATTAACTGGAGTTGTGGGGAAGCTGCCTTCCCTGGGCACCTGGTGCCCCTTGGCTGTTCCTGAGCCCAGGTTTTGGGGAAGGAGGTGGGAGGTGCAGTCGTGCCTCTTCCCTCCTGTGCCAGGGGCCACGGGGAGCGGCGCCTTCGCTGGGTTTGGATGTGTCCCTTGCAAGTGGAGTTGCCTCTTTTTGGAGCTTCTCTGCCTGAATGTGAGATGGGCTTCTGTTTCTGATAAATGTGAGCATGCTAGGCACCCCTGATGTGGAAGAGTTGCTTGTCAGCACAGCACAGTGTTGTGGTCTTGAGGGTTTTCTGCTGCTCTGGCTCTCTGAAAGGAGTTGTTAGTGCTGCTCTCTCCGCTCCTGATAAAGGAGGGGTGTTTGCTGCCTTATCTGACCCTCTATGACAGCTCCTCAGAAGAGGAAACACCAGTCTCTGGTCAGGCTTTCAGTATTACCCACCCCCCAGATGTCCTTTGAATGTTTTGGGCAGTGATGTTTATTGGGAGATGGTGGGTCTGCAGATTGACTTAACAGAGATGCTGCTTTCGTGTTCATCTCTCTGGCTCACCCCTCAAAATTCTGTAACTTGATGCTGTCACTTGGGGTGGTGATACAGGCTGCTGGATCTCCTACAGCTTGAGGCCTCAAGGGTTTTATCCTGCCAGGAAGAACTAAGCAGGGTTAACTCTATTTTTAGGGGGGAAGGAGAAAGCTCCCCAGGAGTAGTCCTTGCCTTGAAACAGGGGTCTGTGTATATGCAGTCTCTGGCACCCTCCACAAACACACAATGGAGCAAGGGGGAGGAAACATCTCTTGCTGTAAACATGGAGTGATGGATGTGAGTCAGCAGAGCAGGTTTTTGTCTATCTCCAAAGATCTGCTTGGTGTTTACTCAGCTTTTTATTGGTTTCCTTTCAGGAATTGACTACAAGACCACTACTATCTTGTTGGATGGCAGAAGGGTCAAGCTGGAGCTCTGGTGAGTGTTACTGAGCTGCTTGGGCTGCAAGTGCAGGACCAGTGACAGGGACTGTGGTGCTGCTGGTGGGATGCTGGGCTGAGCTGTGGAGAGCACAAAGCATCCCCAGGGATGCCCCCAAGAGAGCCTTGCTAGCTTTTCTTACCAGCACATTACTCCAGCAAACCAGACCTCTTTCCACTGATTAAGTAGCATAAAGTTCTTTGCTGGAATAGTCCAATAGTATTTCCCTGTCATACCTGCCTGTGTTCCCATACAGCTTCCAGTCACTGAGGATACAGCAATACTGTTTTGGGAGCAATACAGGATTTTCCTGAAATCCTAGACTGAGAAATACAGACAGAATAAGAAAGGGGGGGAGGGTGGGGTGTGTGTGGAATTACTCAAGGCCTTAGTCCCTACAGAAGCTGAGTGTTTCTCAGTGACCTGAGTAGAAAATTCAAACAAGAGCAGTGAGACCTCCCAGCTAGTGTCAGAGAATGGCAAACCCCTGAAGAGCAGGACTCACCAGAGTGACTGATACTGGGATGGAGACAGGAGGAAGCTGGGTGGGAGGGGTGACCTCTGCCTTCTCTGTCAGCACTGGGGGTAGATCTGGAGTCCTTCTGGCCTGGTTTGTTTTGTCTGAGGTGGAACCTGCTGAGAAGCTGACACAGCAATCCTGTAGATGAAAGAGGAAGGATAAGTAGCCTGCCCCTGTTCTGGCTTTCACCTGCATCTAGTAGGGAATGACACAGGCCCTAAAATGTGAAGTTAAATTGCTCAAGTAACAGGAATATTAGTATTCTGTGTGAATTGATAAATAGGAATGAGCAGCATGTTCTCTGCCTCAGTGACTTGACTGTAGCAGCTTACAGTTTTGTGGTTTAATTATAACCCTGCTCTCTGAAGCTGAATGTCCTCGTTTTTCTTACAAAGAGCAGAAGCAGCTGATTTATCTCTTCCAGCTTGTATGTTTATATGTGCCACTTACATCCTTTTGTGTCTCTTGTAAGCTGTTTTAACATTTCAGCCTCAAGCGTGAAGTTACTTCCTGCTTCCCTGTTGAAACCCTCCTCTTTTTCTGCTGTAATTCTTGAGCTGGAGAACCAGCAAGGACCTGAAGAGCTGGTACCAGTTGGTTTATGGGTCCCTAGAGTAATCTTTTGCCATTACATTCCTCATGCAACCCTATGTTTGATTGTCAGGGGAGAAGGAAATGTAAGCACAGACTGTTAGATTGATGCCCAGGACCAATAATATGATCCTTGAAAGCTTTGGATCTGAAAGGATGATTGTCCTGAGCTTGAGGTCAGTGCCTTTTCCACACAGCTGCTGCAGATCTGGGGCTGAGGGATTCATCAGGCCTCTCACTGGTCCTTAATGTGTCTTTTATCCTGGCCCAGTGAGTAGATATGACAAACATCACAACGTGTCCCTGATTACCCTGATGCATTTCAGTTTGTCCTGGTTATATCAGCATGTTGGGCTCCTGCTCACTGCCCCAGATGTTCCCACAGGAACCAAGAGGTGCCAGTAATGAAGTCAAACTGGTTTATAGCACATCAAGAGTTGCTGTCAGGACAAATTATAGTGACTGAATAGCCCCTTATAGTCACAGTGGGCTAGAAAGACTGTTCCCTAGTTCTGTTCCTGAGCTCTCTGTAGCGTGTGATCAACCAGGTCTGGCAGAGATCTGACTATAAAGATAATTCCTTTCATTTTTGGGTAAAATGTGTTTGAAAGAATAAGTGAAACTGGACAGAGCAAGACAGTTTCTCCTCTCTTGAGTGTCTGTTCACGGTATAGTAGGTCAGCTGTTCTCCATGATTAGGAGAGGTCTGCAGGCTCACTTGGAGCTCCCAGGAACTGTAGGGAATTAGGGAGAAAATCCTTTACCCAAGGGAGCAGTGACTTACACCCTCATACATCATAAGGTGGTGCTGAAGCTGAGTGATTTTGGTTTGTACCTTCTCCATGGGAAGCAGGATGGACCTCTCAACAACCTCTGGAGTGTAACCAAAGGTGTTGAAGCACCCGCTGATCCTTCCCCAAAGCCACCAAGCAGAGCACTTTGGGTGCCTTGTATGTTCTAAAGAGCTGACAAGACCAATTCTGATTTTTATGCCTTTATTTTTAGGTCCAACGGGAGGTGTGCAGTGTGAGATTCAATTCTCCACGTTTCATAGCTGTAACTTTTCTTTGTTGCAGGGACACGTCAGGGCAGGGAAGATTTTGCACCATTTTCAGATCCTACTCTCGAGGAGCCCAGGTGAGTGCTGCTCTCAGAGCTTTGGTGGGCACACCTGCTTTTCCTTTAGGCTGTAGAAGTCTTTCATGCCATGGTGGAGAGCTCTGAAGAAGAAGGCATCAAGTGTAAAACATTCATGGATCCATGTCCATGCCAAGAGGCACAGGTCAACTTGCTGCCTGGTACTCTGGTTTTATGAACTGGTGGGAGAGAAAGGAGTGAAGGGCAGACTTCCCTAGACTGCTCCAGAGAAGGTCTGCTCCAGACTGCACTCAGGATTAGCTTCTAGAGGAGGGCTGAGAAGATGGGGTCGTTGAGGACACAGCACTTCTTGCTCTAGATCTGAGCTTTAATGTGGGAGCTGGTGTGTTCTGAGGGTTGTCAAGTTTGTTTAAATACGACACTGGCTTTCCCCATGGAGATCTTCCAGTCTGTGTTGCCTTCGAGTCAGTTCCAAAAATAGGGTGGCTCCTACTTGCATGTTTGCAGACTTTGAAAGTAGAGCAGCTCAGTTGGATCGTGAAGTACGTTCCTTGCAGCAGGAGTGTTAGGCTTCGAGTGTCTCCTCTGGGCCCTGCTCCAAAATACCTTCCAGATTGTGAACAGCAAGAAGGTCTTGTGGTCCTCTGAAAAACTGCTCTTAGTTAACAGTGCTTTCTCACTGGTTTTTTGTCCTTCTTTTAGTAATGTGACAGGGTCCTTCCAGGATAGTCTTCCCAAGTTAAATGAAATACTCTATTTTTCTTTTCATTTCCAAATTGGAAAACTTTGGAGAAAATTCCTCTTCTCTTATGGAATCATAGAATCCCAGACTGGTTTGAGTTGGAAGGGACTTTACTAGATCCACCCCCCTGCATGGGCAGGGACACCTCCCACCAGCCCAGGCTGCTCCAAGCCCCATCCAACCTGCCCTTCAACACTGCCAGGGATGGGGCAGCCACAGCTTCCCTGGGCAACCTGGGCCAGGCTCTCACCACCCTCACACCAAAGAATTCCCTCTTAATGTCCAACATAAATCTGCCCTCTTGCAGCTTAAAACCATTACCCCTCATCTTATCACTACACAGCCTTGTCAAAAGTCCCTCCCTAAACTTCCTTTTCCTCTTAGACACTAAGAGTCAGAAGCTCCAACCTCCTGACTATGTGTGTCAACCTCCTGACTGTGCCAGTGCCCTGGCAGCTTCCCAGCCTTTGGGAAACTTTGTCACTTTTATTCAAGCTCCTGCTACTGTTGCTCTTGGCTTTTTGCCCCCTGTAGCTGTAGGATTTGCTTTGATCACTGGCAAAATGTGTCTGTCTCTAAGCCTTCCTGCAGATTGACTTGTGCTGTAGATGGGAGAGCACTTGGCCTGGGATGTGCTGGTGGTATCTCCTCTGCTGTCTCGTTTATTCTTGTCTGTGCACATCCCTGGTGCTGCAGATGCTTTGAGGCAGCTCCTTTGAAGCAGAGGCCAATTTCCTGGTCCCTGCAGAAGTGCAAGGCAAGGAGTGTCAGAGCATGTCTCAGGTGGTGGGAGAGCAGAGGATCTCTCACTCACATGCTCAGTCCCCTGTGTGAGTTTATCTTTAAGCTTCCTGGCTACATTAAGCTTGTCCTTGCTTCATTTCAGAAAAGTCTAGAGCTCCAGTCCTAACAAAACCCGTGGGCTTGAGACCATGTCACTTCCCTTACCAGTTAGGAGTGAACAGAATGGGCCAGTGGGGTTTTCTGGTGACCAGAAAGCTTTGGTCAGTCCTTTCCCACAACGTGCTCTGTCAGATGCCCAACTCAAACTGGGAATAGAAATCAGCCAGCTTCCCAACCTGTGTCTCCAGAAGTATCCTTTGAGATCTTTTGCCCCTGTCTGCAGCATGACCTGCTTTTCCAGACTGCTGTACAGAGCTGTGAGCTCCTCAGAGCTGTGGCTCCAGCAGGGGCTGCTCCAGCAGGGGCTGCTCCAGCAGGGGCTGCTCCAGCAGGGGCTGCTCCAGCAGGGGCTGCTCCAGCAGGGGCTGCTCCAGCAGGGGCTGCTCCAGCAGGGGCTGCTCCAGCAGCCACACTCCAGAGCTCTCTGCTGCTGCTGCCACACAACGAGCTGGGGCAGACAGGAGAGGTGGAGTAAGTTGGGATGAGAATGCTGGAATTGGGTGGAGGGACAAGTACACATCTGTCTGGAAAGCAGAGTACAGCTGCAAGGTACTTGCTCAGTGCATCATTTGGGTTCCTGCAGCCTCTTCCCCCCAGGAGTTACACTTGACCCTGGGTGCTGAGTGGCTGACCTGAAGCTGGAGATTGAAGATTGCTTTTATCTTCCTTTCTCAAACTCAAGTTCTTGACCTGCTTTCCTATTGAGGCAACACGTTGCCTTTCTGCTGTATCAGTATTGCTTTAGGAACTCTCACCTGAATGTCTGCAAGGCTTGTTTCAGCCATCTGACCTGCTTACCCCTCCCACGGAGTCTGTCTGAGAGATGTTCATGACAAACCTCATGTCCCTCAGCCAGGCAGAGGGACCTTCAATGGGAGTGCTGAGTGCTGGGGTAAGGAGCTTGCTTACACAGCAAGGTGTCACTTACACCTTTACCTCAAAGCCTTCATTCTGCTTGTGCAACAAATCCCTTTTCCAAACTCTGATCTGCCAAAATGCTCAACCTTTTACCCTTAAAAGAAACCAAACAAGATCCCTGAGCACCAAGCCTGCCCAGAGGGAGGAGGGGTAGTTCCCAACTGAAATATCTCCACTGCCCTCTGAAAGTGTTGGTGAGTTGAGCACAGTGAAAAGGGAGTGCCTCTTGAAGGCTGGTACCTAGAATCCTTGCACAGTCTTCTCCAGGAGGCTTGGAGTGAAACTTAGGTTGGTTTCAGCATCAGAGGATACAGCAATAGGCCAGTATGAGTAGGAATACACTGTCTCTCTTCAATAACTCACCACATTTTTCAATGGATGAGGAAAGTGTCTTCATTTAAGCTTTTAATGATTAACCAAAGTGAGAAGACTGTTTGTTTTTAATAACAAATGCATGTGTACTTCAACACCTCCAGTTACTGTCAGAATGCAGAAGCTGACTTCTGGCACAGCCTTTGCACAAAGGCAACTTAGCCCAGTGTGGTCTCAGGGGGAAAGAGATAAAATGCTCCTGAGTTCTTTCATTTCTTCAAGATGTTTTTAATGCTGCATTCTGTACTGAGAGTTCTTTGCTTCAGCTGTCTGCCTTCCTCTCTTGGTATCACCAGACCTCAGGACTTCTGCTGTGGGAAGCCAGATGCAAATCCAGTTGGAGGCAAGAGAAACAGCTTTTTTTAACCTAAGAAGCCAGAAGCTCAGGAAGAATAAATACAGCAGATGCCAGGGTGGGAAAAGTTCTGTTTAAAGTACAGTGTGATATTTTTACAAGCAGGCTGGGAATGGACTGGCCACAAGCACCTTCACACTGCAAATTAGTAGGAGGTACTCACTGAATAGAGGAGAGAAACTCAAAACTGAGCTTCGTGTAAGGAGCTCAAGAGGAATTGGAAGAATAAGTTTCCAAAGAGGACTTTGTCAGGTTGGCTGTGAGAGCAGAGGCTGCCCTCAGCAGCCTGAACTTTGTGAGTCTGAAGAGCCACTACTGGAGAATACTTGGTATGAAAAGTGCCTTCAGGCAGGGGACACGCACCTGACCTTCCCACACACACCTTTGCTGTTTCTCAAGTGGTAAGAATTTGCTCCTCTGAAGTAAATTCTGGAGAGCCTGCAAGAGTGGGAGAACAGTCTCCAAACAGGGAGGAGACCTTCTTGGGAGTTTTTCTTTCCCCCACAGCATGGCCTTAAGCTTTGCTCAGCCTGGATTTCAGGCTAGTCCCTCCCATTGGAAGGACTCTCCTTGAGCACCTCGGTGCCTTCCCCAGTTTCAGCTCCACAGCACTTGCCTGAACGTGTGTAGCCATGTGGCTTTCATCTTTGGCTGGAACATTTTCCTCTTGAAAACATCTGAAGTAAAATAGCTTTGCTGTCCTTGTGCTTCTAACGAGGAGCAGTCTCTTCTTTCAGCCAAGGTGGACCAGCCACATTTGCCTCAGGACTTGCTGTGAGGATCACATCTCTTCTTGCCTTCCCTCCCTGCCCAGCTGATCCAATCTCATTTGGGATGCACTGAGCAATTTGGCCCGACATGGAGGCTTGCAGTGCCTGGGACACCCCTCCTTTCCTCTTCCTGCTTCCTTGAGGTTTGAGTTTCCCTTCTTCTCTCACAGCGTCTTTCATTATCCCTTCCCTCTTAGGGTCTGCTGGGTCCAGGAGATCTTGACCACATCACTTGAAGGTCCATGTGTGTCTTGACTGGCAGAGCACTGGCCTCCAGGCACTGTGGGGCAGGGAGAGCCTGCAGGCCACGTCATGAGGGGTGATGGTGGATGAGAAGCTCACCATGAACTGGGAATGTGCACTTGCAGCCCAGGAAGCAAAATGTGTCCTGGGCTGCAGCCCCAGCAGTGTGTCCAGCAGGGCCAGGGAGGGGATTCTCCTCCTCTATTCGGGTTTCTTGAGACCCCACCTGGAGAACTGTGTCCAGTTCTGGAGCCCTCAACATAAGAAGGACATGGAGCTCACGGAGAAAATCTGGAGAAAGGCCACAAAAATGATCCAAGGCTGAAGCAGCTCTGCTCTGGATCCAGGCTGGGAGAGCTGGGGTGTTCAGCCTGGAGAAGAGAAGGCTCCAGGGAGACCTTAGAGCAGCTTCCAGTGCCTGAAGGGGCTCCAGGAAAGCTGGGGAGGGACTTGGGACAAGGGCAGGGAGGGATGGGATGAGGGGGAATGGATTAAAACTGGAGGAGGGGAGATTTAGATGAAACATGAGGAGGAAATTCTGTGCTGTGAGGGTGGTGAGAGCCTGGCCCAGGTTGCCCAGGGAAGCTGTGGCTGCTCCATCCCTGGCAGTGTTGAAGGGCAGGTTGGATGGGGCTTGGAGCAGCCTGATCTGATGGGAAGTGTCCCTGCCCATGGCAGGGGGTTGGATCTGGATGATCTTTAAGGTTCCTTCCAACCCAAACCATTCCATGGTTCT